CCCCGTCCTAAGCTGCCTTGAGGACCAGTTTTGGGGGTGAGGTGTGTGTGTGTGTGTGTGTGTGTAATGACACTCCTTTAAGGCCTGCTCTGCCCACCTCTGGACCAGCAAAGCCTCATGCGTTGGCCTCACTGGACTCTTTGCCCCATAGACCCGGAATGTCTGTGGTGGATCCCCTGTTCGTCTGGCTGGAGGCCCAGTGGGGTCCCTGCTCTGTCACACCTGGCTGGCCGTGTGTGTGTGGGGGAAGACTGTGGGACCCCCCCCCCACCATTGGAGGGCAGAGCTTGGATCCTCCCTCCCTCCCCCCTCCTCTGTGGGACCCCCCCCCACCATGCGAGGCCAGAGCTTGGACCCTCCCTCCTTCCCTCTGTGGGACCCCCCCCACCATGCGAGGCCAGAGCTTGGACCCTCCCTCCTTCCCTCCGTCCTCTGTGGGACCCCCCCCCCCCATTGAGGACAGAGAGGGACCCCTTCCTTCCCTCCCTCCTCTGTGGGACCCCCCCACCATTCGAGGACAGAGCTTGGACCCCTCCCTCCTCCCTCCCTCCTCTCGTGGCCCCCCCCCCACCATGCGAGGCCAGAGCTTGGACCCTCCCTCCTTCCCTCCCTCCTCTGTGGGACCCCCCCCCACCATGCGAGGCCAGAGCTTGGATCCTCCCTCCCTCCTCTGTGAGGGCAAGGGGGGGTCTGGGCTGTTGCTTAAGGAGGCGGAACAGCGCCAGTCCCTGGAGGCTCCAGTGGATGAAATATGCATAGTTGGTGTGATTTAAGCCCCGGGGCGGCCCTCCATCCATCCATCCATCCATTGGAGGGGAAGGCAGGAAGGAAGCAAGCGCAGGCTCGTGGCTCAAGCTGTATTTATTGCTTTCCGAGGCGGAAGGAGGCTCTGATCCCCGGCCATAAATTCCTCCGGCATTGGCTCAATCCTGGGAGCCCGCACACCCAGCCGCCCCCTCCCTTTCCCTTGGCTGCCATTCTAAGCCAGGCTGCCCACTCACGCTCCCTCAGGCCGCTCCTCTTGCAGACTTTGGCCACAGCCTTGGGCTGGGGGGTGGGCTGAAGCAAGGTCTGCCTCCCCCCCCCTTACACACAGGGCCTCTGACTTACTCCCTCATGTTGGGGGGGGGTCACCTCCCCTCTCACCAGCCCCTGGCATTAGTGACTGCTGTTGTGGCATGGAGGAATGTGTTTGTGTGTGTGCTGCCCCTCCAGTGCTGCCTTGGGCAGGAGGAGGAGGAGGATGGGGGGGGGGCTTCAGGCACAGGGAGCCCCTCAGCAGCAAAGCAAACGCGGGCAGCACGAAGCCACGTCCGTCCGTGTCAGAGCACACCGGCTGGGGATTAGTCTCTCCACGCCTCTCTCTCCGAAATGTCAGCAGCCGCTGTGCCGAGAGGCAGCCTGGTTGGCGGCAAGCTGCTAATCTGCCTTTGCGGGGGACCAGGTGGGCAGGCGGGTGGGCGGGCAGGCGGGCATCCTCTCAGCCGGCCTACAAGGAGGGATGGCCAAGAGCCCCCCAGGGCTGCCCCCCCCCGGCTGCCCCCATCACCCCCATCCCTCTTTAGGGAGGCCGGAGTGGCCCCCTCCATGTGCTGGGCATACTTGGCTCTGGCCAGACTGAGCAAGGCAGCAGCCTTTGGTTTTGTATGCCCCCCCTCCCCAATCACCACCGCTTCCACCTTCCAGGTTGCAAAGCAGGTTCCAGAATCTGGAAGGCCCCCTTGTTTTAGACCCGGTCTGGGACAACTCCAGGTCTTTTGGACTTCAAGTCCTTCCCCCCTCCCCAATTCCTCAGGCCCCTTCCTCTTCCTTTTCCCTTTGCTTTTTGTTGGGTTTCATCCCTGACTGCACAAGTCTCTAGTTCTCAATGAGCTGATACACTAGAGAGATGAAAGTGAGGGATTCCTTCTCCAATTTCCTCAAGCAAGCTTATCTTAAGAAGGGGCTTAGAAGGGGGGGGGCTGTCTTACTCATCTTTGCACGCCACGATCTCACACCCCCCCCCACCCCGAATACTTAGCAATGTGAGGAATCCCTCTCTCCAATCTCTCTAGGCTAACTCCTCATTGAGAGCTGGAGTCTTGTGCAGTCAGGGATGGAACCCAACGCTTTACTCTTCAGCGTCTGAGCGGGGAAGGGAGGGGCCTGAGGTTGTGAGGAATGGAGGCGGCGGGGGGGGGGGAGTTGAAGGCCAAAACACTGGGAGGGAAAGAGGGCCCAAGTTGGCCTAGGCCTGCTTGAGACCCAGGTCAAAGGTGACGCCCAGCAGGGTGCGGATGGGGCTGTGTCCAGTCAGTGGACAATGGCATGGTGTTGCAGCCAATCCTCCCCCCCACACCACCTCCTTCCTGGATGGACTGAAAGTGTGCTAGGCCATGGGTCACTCTTGGGGTGCCCCTCATGGAGAGGAAGACCTCCTCCCCAATCCCTGCCTCTCCTCAAGGTTTGAACAGGCAGAGCTCCAGGCGAGGGTCTTTCATGCTCAGCCCCTTCTGTTCTGTGCACTCTCTCTGTCTGTCCAAGAAGTCGCTCTGATTTGTGACTTAACAGGGGGGGTCCCCAGTGAGGGACCCCCCCCACCTCCCTTCTCTCTCTGCCCTTCACTCTTCCAGAAGGTCAAGACTTGGGTGGGGGACCCTGGGAGCCAGGCCACTTCCCACCTACCTCAGTTGGCCCTCTGTAGCCTCCAGCCTTTCCTAAGGGAGCCCCCACCTACCCTCTTGTCCTCCTTCAGGGGAGGGCACGGCCTTGTGAGAAATGGGGGGGGGGTTGCTTGTGTCCCTGCATGAAGGGCAAGGTTGGCTGCATCTGGCACAAGGACAGAGCACCCCCCCCCATGAAATTCCTCTCAGGGAAGGTCCTTGATCCTGGAAGCATCTCCTTCCCTTGAAGGCTCTCTGTGACAGGTTGGGTGTCCAAGGCAGGAGCTGCGTGCCGGACATGCCCCCTCCGTCCTCCCCCTCCCCCTCCTGGGAGACTGTCCTTGTGTTGATGGGAGCGGGGAAGGGGGGGGGGGAGAAACCTGCCTCCGGCCATCAGTCCTGTCTTGCGCCTGCTTGCCTCCGGACCTGCCAGGGACAATCAGCTCTGATGGGCGGATGGGTGGCAGGACGGACGGATGGCCGGCTGCTGAGGTGGCTCTTCTTCTTGGTCAGGTGCCTGCGATGCGGAGCCTGGCCCAGCCCTGTCTCTGCGTGTGTGTCCAAGGGGGGGGGGGGGGAGGCCTTCTGGATATTGGTCCAAGAAACGGGGGGGGGGGGTCATTGGGGGCAGGCCTGTTTCAAGGAGGAGATGGACAGGGGTCCACAGGAGGGCCACCCATCTGGCCAGAGGTCTAAAAAACCATGAACCCCCCTATGGAGTTGGGGGGGGGGTTGCTTAGTTTGGAAAAAAGAAGGCTGAGAGAAGAAGGGGCCCCAAGTGGAGCCAGGCTTCAGTATTTCAAAGGAGGTCCCATTGAGGGAGGAAGGACAAGAGACAAGGACATAGTGGACACGTGGGTTCAAGTGGAAAGAAAACAGCCGGGCAGTAAGGGCTGTGCAACAGCCTTGGAGGACGTTGGACTCTCCCTCTCCAAAGGGGTTTATGCAAGGGTTGGATGGCTGTCTGTTGGGAGGGCTTGGATGGTGTCTCCCTGCCTGGCAGAAGAAGGGAGGAGATCCCTCCTTGGGAATCTCCTCCACCTCCGGGATTCTGTACTTGTACGGCAGCCTCTGTCGGTCAGAAGCCAATCTCCCCTCTGCTGGGGCCCTTTCCTTCCATACAGATCGGGGGCTGGTGGGGGGTGTCATGGATGGGGCCAGATCCCCCCCTCTGTTTTGGGGTGACTGTTCTCCACATTCCTCCTGCACATCCCTCCCAAGCCTTGTGTTGTTGAGCCGCCTTGGATGAGGGAGCGAAGGAAGGAAGGAAAGAAGGAGCGAAGGAGGGAGAGAGGGAGGGAGGAGGAGTCCGCAATTTCCAAAGGAGCAGCAAAGGTTTATTAGAATTACCACACAAACAGATTTGTTTATAAGGCTTTGAAACGGAAGCCGATGACGAGGGGATTTTTTTCAAAAGCACAGCTTGCTTGGAGCAGGCGTGCATGCGTGCGCTCATCCGCATGTGTGCAAGCCAAGTGCACACTCGGCACACGGAGCGCGTTCAGATGAAAACCCACATTTTCTGGCCTGAAAAGGGCCTGAGGAGGAAGCGCGTGCGCACAGGCCGAGGGAAGCCCCGCACCCTCTCTGTCTCTCTCTCTTGGGCAAATTCAGCACAGAAGAAAGCCATGGGGGGGCAAGGGGGGGGTGGAGTGCCCAAGAGCTAATGTCCAGCAAAGTCTGAAGCAGGGCGGGGCGGGGGTGCCAAGGGGGAGTTGCAAAGGGGGTGAGGCTGTGGGGACGATGGGCTTGTGCGCGTGGGTGCACGGCTGCACCTGGACTCTCTGGTGGAGGATCCTGAGCACTTCCCCCCCGCCCATTGCATCCCCATAGCCTCAGCCATGGGGGGGTGTGTGGCACTTGGGGGCCTCTGGGTGAAGGCACATGGAGCCCTCCCCCAGAATACTCCCCCTCTGCTCCTGCACCCGATCCCTTCATTCAGAGCGGGGCCCTTGTGGCCCGGGATGCGGGGAGCAGGCATGCACCTGAACTCTCTGGCAGAGGATCCTGAACACTTTCCCCCATTGCATCCCCGTAGCCCCAGCCACACTTGGGGTCCTCTGGGTGAAGGCACGTGTGGGAGGCCCCCCAGAACGCCCCCCCTCTCCTCCTGCGCCCGATCATTCAGAGCAGGACCCTTGTGGCCTGGGATGTGGGGCCCGCCTTGCTCCTATTCAGGCTTAGAATGTCGCATCTTCCTGGGTTGGGTTGGTGCAATGGCACAAAGAAGCGTCATATCAGACACGCTTGTACACGCACATGTGGGCTCACACATCTATTTCGGAGCCACTGAGGGGGGGAATGTGGGTGCGGGTCAGAGGACACTCTTGACCAGAAGGCCCTTGCTCTCTCTTCCAGGACAAGAACCGGAAGCTGCGCCCACTCTACGACATCCCCTACATGTTTGAGGCCCGGGAGTTCCTCCGGAAGAAGCTGATTGGCAAGAAGGTGAGTGGGTGCGGGGAGAGCGTGGGCGACCCGTGGCCCAGAGGAGGCCCCTTCCCCCTCCTCAACCTCCATTGCCCCCTCCTCCTTCTGTTCCACCTATGGGGCCGGATGTAGGGCCCTCTCCAGCACCCCCCCCCAAGGTGCAGACTCCCCAGGGGGTCAAGAAGCTGATTGGCCAGAAGGTGAGTGGGTGCGGGGAGAGCGTGGGCGACCCGTGGCCCAGAGGAGGCCCCCTCCCCCTCCCCAACCCCCATTGCCCCCTCCTCCTTCTGTTCCACCTATGGGGCCGGATGTAGGGCCCTCTCCAGCACCCCCCCCCAAGGTGCAGACTCCCCAGGGGGTCAAGAAGCTGATTGGCCAGAAGGTGAGTGGGTGCGGGGAGAGCGTGGGCGACCCGTGGCCCAGAGGAGGCCCCCTCCCCCTCCCCAACCCCCATTGCCCCCTCCTCCTTCTGTTCCACCTATGGGGCCGGATGTAGGGCCCTCTCCAGCACCCCCCCCCAAGGTGCAGACTCCCCAGGGGGTCATCCATCCCTTTGCCGGGTGTCAGAGTGAGGAACCCCTGCTCTTGCTGCTCCCGGGCAGCTTCTCTCTCTCGGGTGCCGCTTTCTTCTCCTCTCTCTCACCCTTTTCTTCCCCTCTTTTTCTCCTCTTATCGGTTCTGCTCTCGTGCAGACTCCCCAGGGGGTCATCCATCCCTTTGCCGGGTGTCAGAGTGAGGAACCCCTGCTCTTGCTGCTCCCGGGCAGCTTCTCTCTCTCGGGTGCCGCTTTCTGCAGAGAAGGCATTCTTGTGGCTTCCAGTGCCGCTTCCTTGGAGCCGGGCCTGCCGTCATTAACAATCCATGGGGAGGGAGGGAGGGAGGGAGGGGGGAAAGGGAGGGAGGGGGGCAGGCTGTGGGTGATGAATATTTCAGCGCCTGGAGAGGTTCTCTGCGCAGTTGAGCGCGTGCAAAGGCCGCCTCTGCCAAAGGGACGGGCCTCTTCCCGTGGTTTCCTCTTCACTCAGGGAAGCTGGCCGCTGGGCAGACCCACCTTCCTCCCCATGCGCCTCCTGGTCAGCCGGCCGGCCGGCCTCCCTCCCTCCCTCCCTCCACTCAGAGCTGAAAGATGGCCAGGAGAGGGGGGGCCCACAGCGGTGTGCCTGTGGGTGGGCAGTGGACTGAGACCTGCAGGGCTGGGCCTCCCTCACAGAGCGGCAGCACGGCCAGATCCACCAATGTGTGTGTGTGTGTGTGTGTGGGGGGGGGGGGTCTGGAGGAACTCCTCCAGTGCGTGGGTGGCAGTTTGCAAAGCTTCCTGCCAACACAGCCTCCCAGGTGCAAAAGGCTCTCTGTTGTGATGCCGTGAATGGTTGTATCTGGGATTCCCTTGGGGTGCTTCTGCTGCCTCCCTGCATGGGGGGTGGTAGTATCCCTGCCTCCCATGGGGGGGGGGGTCAGCTTCTTCCCTCACTTGACAAGGGCTTGACCCATCTCACTCTGGTCAGTGGTGCCCCCCCCTTAAAATTTCTCCTGGCAGCCCACTGCAGCAGTTCATGTGTGTATGATGGGGGGCAGGGAGGTTTCCCCCAAAGCTCTGCCATTGTTGCCTGGCCCTTGGCCCAGCAACATTTCCAGGGTGGTTCCCAGGAGGAGTCACTTGGTGGGGGGGTGGGGGGGGCCTCCCTGCTGGGGTCAGGAGCATAAACTTTAGTTCTGAGCCCCCTTTGCAGACCCAGGTATTTGGCACGTCGTTGGCTTGGCAGGGCGGGGAAGGGCAGACTGTTTCCTGGAGGCCAAAGGGCCAAGTGACCCCTGGAACCTTGAAGGGTGGACTCGCCAGAGGAGAGGGAGGGAGGGAGGGGGAGGTGCCCGGCCCCCTCCTTGCCTTCACAGCCTCAGTGACTTGGGGGGAGCACGCCACCTGCCCCTGGCCCCATGTGCCCCCCCCCTTCGCCTCCTCCGTGCCGGGCAAATGCTCTCTGCATTTTCTGCCGTGGGAGAGGGGTCACCCGCTGCCTTTGCTGCCTCGGAAGCGGCTTTGTAAGCATTTCCTTTGTCAGCGCCACGTTTTTCACTTCTGATTAATTTGATTGAGTTTAGCGAGAAAAAACTCCTTTGCGTTAATGATCCAAACTATCCCTGGAGGTCGGAGGCACCTCCTGATTGGACGTGACAGGACCGGTCACCCTGGCCAGGCCTTCCTGCCTCCCTCCTTTCCTTTCTTCCTCTTGCTCTCCTTTGCCCTTGCCTACACCCCCCCCCCTGCCCCCCGCCCCCCGCCCCCCGCCTTGGCGCTTGCTCTCTTCCTGCCACTGCCATCGCCTGTGCCCGTCCATCCTTCCTTCCTTGCTTCCTTCCTTGCTTCCGTCTCCACTTCCCTCGGCTTGTACGGGGCACCCGCTTGACCAGCAAGGCCTGGGTCAGTCAGAGGGTGCCTCAGGCCCCCCACCCCCTTCCCACCCACTCACTCCCCCTCACCTGCCTCATTACCTGGTGCCGCCAGCCCTGCCAGGTAGGAAAAGGGAGCACAAACATTTTCGAAGCCTTAAGAATAATAATAAGCGAGTCTGCCTGTAATTAAAGCAATTTGGAACATGCGGCAATCAAGCCCAGAGAAGGATCCGTGAGAGTAATTACTAGGGGGGAGAGCCTGAGCAAACGGAGGGGGGGGGTGTTGAGGAAGGGGGCACTTCAAGCACAGCAGCGTGCACTGGCTTCCTGGGGGAGGAGGGGCTTCAAGGGTCTGTGGGGGGGGGAGGATGCTCTTCATGAGGCTCCACCCCTCCACCCACCCCCCACAGCACTCTCTTGCCCCCCTCCTGCTCAGGGGCCCAGCTAGGCCTCAGGTGGGGGTGGGGGGTGAGAGACCCATAGGCAGCAAGGCCTCCGGAGCAAGGGGTCGCTCCTCCCAACTTCCCAGGCAGGTGCTCTGCTCTGCTCTGAGGGGAATCTGAGATGTTAGGCTCAACCCCCCCCCCCCCCCCTTGGGGTGATTCCACCAAAAATGCAGCAGAAATTCTAGATAATGCCTTGTCGAAGGCTTTTATGGCCGGAATCACTGGGTTGTTGTAGGTTTTTCTGGGCTATATGGCCATGATCTAGAGGCATTCTTTCCTGACGTTTCGCCTGCATCTATGGCAAGCATCCTCAGAGGTAGTGGGGTCTGTTGGAACTAGGAAAAAAGGGTTTATATACCTGTGGAATGACCAGAGTGAGACAAAGGACTCTTGTCTGTTGGAGCTAGGTGTGAATGTTTCAACTGATCACCTTGATTAGCATATAATGGTCTGGCAGTGCCTGGAGCAATCCTTTGTTGAGAGGATCCCTCTTGTCCTTTAGTCTAGATAGAAAGTCAAACAGTCTAGATAGAAAGAAAGGATCTTGGAGCAAATGGTTTACCAAGTTTCATCTTCTTAAGGATGTAAAAGGGTGAAAAGTCCATGCAGCTACTTTTTGCCTAGAGAGAGGCAAAATGTGCATCCTCATGGGTAGAAAGGAAAGCAGAAGAGACTGGAAAACTGGCGAAAGGCCTTGTGGCCAATAAAAATACCCTTTAAAAGGAAGTTCCGTCACAGAATTCCATGTGTGTGTGTGTGTGAGGAATCCCTCAGCCTGATCCTGTCTCTAGCCTAGCTACTCATTGAGGTCTGGTAACTTGATGACACAAGAGGCTTGTGCAGTCCAAGGATGAAACCCAACAGGGAGGACGGGACTGGCAGGCACATATGTCCCCCCCCCCCCCGGTGTGTGGGTCTTCCTGGGCCTATGGGTTGGAAGCATGGCCCTCAGGGCATTGGAAGGGGCCACCAAGGCCACTGGCTCCAAAGGGACTCCTCTCTGGGGTTCCCCAGAAGAGTGAGTGGCAGGTATGTGGGGGTCCCTGGGATTGGCCATGAAGCCCCCCGGGGGATGTGGGGGGGATGTGTCTGGCTGGAAACACCACTGGGGAGGGTGTGCCTCCCCCTCTTCCAGGCCCCATCCCTGGGGGGCTGCCCCTTGCCATGAAAGGGTGAATTGGGGGGGGGGGGCAGCAAGGCTGGGATGGGGCAAGGGAACGGGGCCCACAAGGTGGTGGCCCCCCAGGCAAGGACTGCAGATTTCCTTGCTTGCTCCTGGGGGGTGCAACTCACCCTCATCCTAATAATAATAATATTAACAACAATAATCTTTATTTATACCCGACCACCATCTCCCAGTGGGGAGGGGACTCGGACTCACCCTTATCCTAATAATAATAATAATAATAATATCGTCAATAATAATCTTTATTTATACCCCGCCACTGTCTCCCAGGGGACTCGGAGCAGCTTACGTGAGGCCAAGCCCCGTAATACATTACAGCAAAATAAAATACAGAACAACAAAACAACATCACAATAAAATAAATAAAACATTCAGGGAAAACAAACAGTGCGAAATAACATAATGGAAAAATCAAGCACGGTGGGCGGGCCAAAAGCATGACATAGAATGATAAAACTCTGGATGAGATAGCAATGAAAAAGGTATATTGGTGGGGGGGGGGGAGGTCTCGTATGGGATGGGACAGTGGAGGTAGACTTTCAATAAGGTGTGTGGGGGGAAGTCCATTTCCTCCTCTCCCCCACCCCTGCTCCCCAACTGAGCTGCGGTGCCGTTTCTAGAGGAGATCCCCTTGCTGAGGAAGCCCTGCTGCCATTGCCCCCCCCCTTCTCCTCCCCTCAGGACCTGCCAGTCTGTGTGGGGGGGCTCCCCTTTTCCTGCAGGGAGCCAATGCCGTCTTCCCTGCTGGTTCCCAGGAATGGCGCTGTGCCCCCCCCCCCCTTTTCAGCAGCTGAAGTGAACCTCTTCCGGCAAAGAGAGCCAGAGGCGCCTTCCCTTGCTGTGAAACCTTTGATGCTCCTTGAGACCCCCCCCCCCCCCCCCCAAATTTGCACCATGCCTTGGGCTGGCCCAGGAGAGGAACTCGGGAGACCAAGAACAACAGGGACAGTCCCCCAATCCCCCTCTGTGCCCACCCACCCACCTTCCCCCTTCCCTTCCCTTCCCTTCCCTTCCCTTCCCTTCCCTTCCCTTCCCTTCCCTTCCCTTCCTTCCTTCCTTCCCTTCCCTTCCCTTCCCTTCCCTTCCCTTCCCTTCCCTTCCCTCCCTCCCTCCCTCCCTCCCTCCCTCCCTTCCTCCCTTCCTTCCCCTCCCCTCCCCTCCCCTCCCCTCCCTCCCCTCCCCCTCCCCTCCCCTCCTCCCCCCCCTCCCCTCCCTCCCCTCCTCCCCTCCCCTCCCCCTCCCCCTCCCCTCCCTCCCCTTCCCTCCCCTTCCCTTCCCTTCCCCTTCCCTTCCCTTCCTCCTTCCCTTCCCTTCCTCCTTCCCTTCCCCCTCCCTCCCCTCCCCTCCCCCCTCCCCTTCCCTTCCCTTCCCCTTCCCTTCCCCTCCCCCTTCCCCTCCCTCCCCTCCCTTCCTTCCTTCCCTTCCTCCCTTACCCTTCCTCCCTTCCTTCCTTGGGAAGGCTCCTTGTGTGCCTTTGCTGGAGTTCCCCGTTCTCTCTGTGTCCTTGGAGCCCACTTAAGGTCATCCTGGGAGCTTAGTCCACAGGGAACCAAATCCCCCCCCCCCCCATATAAATAAAAGTGTAATGTTCATTTGTGGGATTAAAATAACTCAAAAACCACTGGGTGAATTGACACCAAATTTGGACACAGGCCAATGAGTGACCATCACTCAGAAAAACACTGAAAAACAACAGAAGAGACTTAAAAAGCCAAAAAACAGAAAAATACATTACACCGCATGCACAAAACCACACACACACATATACGTACACATACACACACACACATACACACGCGCACATACATACACACACGCAAACACACATATACACAAATATATACACACACATACACACACAAAACACATATACCCAGACTGGGCCACAGCAATGTGTGGCAGGGGACGGCTAGTGTGTGTGTGTGTGTGTGAATATACACATACACACCTATACACACACACACACACACACACACAGAGCACTCCCCCCCGGCTGCAAGGTGTGGACTGGAGGGTGTCAGGTGAGCGGATTCCACAAGCGCCTGTCCATCCTCTCTGGTGTGCCGGGCTCTGTGCCTTTGGCTCCGGTTGGTGGTTTCTGGAGTGCAGGCGGGCCCTTTGCTGGGAAGGGGGCCAGTTGCTGCCCACTTGACCCTGGGAAGCCCACTCTTGGAAGGCGAAATATCCATGGGGATTGAGGAGCATTGCCCGTTTGGAGCATCCCATCACATCCTGGGAGGCGGAGTGGTGGGGCCGCCTTGCCAAGAGAGAGAGAGAGAGAGAGAGAAAGGGCTGGGCATTCCTAGGGAGGGGGGCACCCTGGCGCCACTGGGCCAGAACTGGAGCCCCTCCAAGGAGGAGGGTGGAGAGAGGGAGGGAGAGAGGGAGGGAGGGAGGGCATATGAGCCCGCGATGGATGGGCTGCTTTGGCCGCCTTGTCCGCCTTGTCCTTCCATCATAGCAGCACGGAAGTTTTATGGAGTGCCGGCTTGATGGAGCGTTGTCCGGCCTCTCACCAGGCCTCATTTGTTTGCCCAACTGTCTCGGCTATGTCGCTCCTGCCGGCCGGCTGGCCTCCCTTGGCCCATAAAGCATGGTGGCCGGGAGGGGGGGGCCAGAGAGAGAGAGAGAGAGAGAGAGCCCCCCCTCCTTGGCAGACTCCTCTGGGGGAGCGGGGCTGCTCCTTGGTGGCTTGCGCAGGACGTGACTCGCAGGCCAATGAGCACCTGCAGCTCCTGCCACTCTTCTGACACACGATGGTTGCAAGGCGGGGGGGGGGAGAGGGCTGCAGGGAGGTGCCCAGAGGGGTGGGGGGGGGGGTGCGTGGCGGGTTGGCAGGGCTGCTCTGGGCCTCCCCCGCCTGGCAGACAAACACTCCCCACAAGGGCTGGAAGAAGGGGGTTGGGCTGGATGGCCCCTGGAGAGCCCCAGGAGCCCCACATCCCAGCCCGCCTCCCTGCAGGGAGGCTGGCTGGGATGTGGGGCTCCTGGGGCTCTCCAGGGGCCATCCAGCCCAACCCCTTCTTCCATGCAGGAAAAGCACAACCAGTGCATCCCTGACAGACGGCCATCCAGCCTCTGTTTAAAAGATTCCACGGAAGGAGCCTCCACCAGGCTCCCAGGCAGAGAGTTCCATTGTTGAACAGCTAATCTTATGGTCAGGAAACTGGTTTATTTATTTATCGTATCAGGAGCAACCAGACATTTGTATTACATTTTAAACAAAGCAAGCAAACAGACAAAACACAAAGTTTGCAAGCTTGGTAGTGGATTAAATGTCCTTTGACCAGTATCTGGCCCCTTGGAGTACCTCTGGTGTTGCCGCAAGGAGGTCCTCCATTGTGCATGTGGTAGGGCTCAGGGTGCATTGCAGCAGGTGGTCAGTGGTTTGCTCTTCTCCGCACTCGCATGTCGTGGACTCCACTTTGTGGCCCCATTTCCTGAGGTTGGCTCTGCATCTCGTGGTGCCAGAGTGCAGTCTGTTCAGCACCTTCCAAGTCGCCCAGTCCTCTGTGTGCCCAGGGGGGAGCAGCAGAGTAGCATAGCACAAGGGCAGATGTCTTCACTGTGTCTGGTTGTGATCCCCAGGTTGTGCCAGTCAGCTTTCGTATGATATTGTGTCTAGCGCCCACTTTTTGCTTGATATTCAGGCAGTGCTTCTTGTAGGTCAGAGCACGGTCCAGAGTGAACCTCCCAGGTATTTGGGTGCTCTGCAATGCTCCAGTGGGATTCCTTCCTTCCCAGGTAATAATCCTCAGAGCTCGGGATGCTTGTCTGTTCTTAAGGTGAAAGGCACATGTCTGTGTTTTAGATGGATTAGGGATCAGCTGGTTTTCCCTGTCATAGGCAGTAAGAGCACCTAGAGCTTTGGAGAGCTTCTGTTCAACCATCTCAAAGCTCCCTGCTTGAGCGGTAATGGCACGATCATCAGCATAGATGAAGCTCTCTGTCCCTTCTGGCAGTGGCTGGTCATTTGTGTAGATGTTGAACATGGATGGAGCAAGCACGCTCCCCTGAGGCAGGCCGTTCTTCTGTTTCCGCCATCTGCTTCTCTGGCCCTGGAACTCAACAAAAAAGCTCCTGTTTTGTAGCAGGTTTCCTATGAGGCGGGTGAGGTGGTCGTCCTTTGTGATACTATACATTTTTCTCAGGAGGAGGCAGCGGTGGTTCACAGTCTCATAGGCTGCGGACAGGTCTATGAAGACAGCTGGAAGCTGATGTTCAGGTGGGAACTCTTTTCCTGCCAGTTGAGCCCGTTGCTCCTCTCCCTCTCCTGAGGGGAAGCTGGACAGACAGCCTGAAATACTCACAGCAACCCACCAACCTCCACTGGCCTGGGCCCAGCTATTTGGCTGACTTTGAAGAGCCAGATGGACAGGCTTGTGGTCAAGAGGGCCTCCCAGCTGTGCTTGCAGGAGAGCCAAAGTTGTGCTTCTCCGAAGGGAGTCCCGGAAGCCCCAAGGAGGTCTGGTATTTCGGGCAGATGCCGCCGGGATGCTCCGGGTCCCAAATGGAACGGAGAGCCAAAAAGGGGCAGGTAGAAGGAGAAGGGAGGGGGGTCCGTGCGGAGGGGCCCAAGGCCGCCTCCGCCTTCCATTTCGGTCACTCCCGTTGCTGCGGCCTTCCTTCGCCTGCGCGGCACGATCCCCGTGTTTACTGACAGGCAATTTTCCATGTCTTACTGACAGTCTGCAAACTTCCTGACAGTTGGCAAGGTGATGCGCGGTGGTGCTCGTAACTTAAGCTAATAATGAGCGTGTGCTTTTCCTCGGGGGGTGTGCAGATGTGTGAGTGGAAACACACCCCTCTTTCCCCTGGAGAGCTCCGCCTCGGCCTCCTTTCCGGCGTTTGCCTGTCATTCACGTGGGATCAGACTTGCTGTGCACATACCCCCCCCAAAAGTAGCACTCCTCCCTCCCTCCTGAATTTGAATGGTGGCAGCATCTCTTTCCTGGGGCTGGCAGGGCCCTTTGGGGGCTCTGGGCCACGTGGTCAGAAGCCCACGAGTGTGTGGGGAGTGGGCTTTGGGTTTGGGTGGGAGAGTCTGGAAGGAGTTGAGTGGGGGGCTGCAGGTGGGGAGGGAGGGGGAGCCCTGTGCACATTTGTTGGGGAGGGGCTCCCAGAGCAGGACCCCCCCCACTCAACCCCCCCCCAGTCCTGGGCTGGAGAGGCGCGTGGGCCTATTTATGGGCTTTGTGCCCTGGCTGCCCTCCGGCGCTTCCAGGCTGCCGGGCAGCGACCGTAAAGGCCACACCGTTGCGCATCATTTGAAATCGATAAGACAACTCAGCTGCGGCGAGAAGAACCAGCGCGATGTACAAACCAGAAGCCGTAGAAACCATGGCTGGCCCATGCGCACAGCACGGTGGGCTTGCCACCTGGGCAGGCCATGCCATGCTCTCCACACCTCTTTGCCCACAACCCGGGAATGCCGCTCCCCCCCCATTGCTGTCCACCTGAATTGAAAGGAGAAGCTGTCCTTAGCCGTGTGGTGCTATGCATCCTTCAGATCTGCACATTTGTCCGTCTAAACGGCATTTCCACCCCCTCCACGGCACCCTCTGGTTTGACCCATTAACACCCCCCCCAAATCCCTTCAAGTGGGCTTTCCCCTCCCCATTCCTCTGGATACAATGAGATGAGGGGGCGCTCCTACTCCCCCCCCCCCCCCCCCCCCCCCGGGTAGTGTTTCCTGGGCCTTCCCTACTCGGCCGCTCTGGCTTTTCCTCGACCCAACCTGTGTCCCTTTCCTTCCTTCTAGGTCAACGTCACGGTGGACTACATCAGGCCGGCCAGCAGTGCCACGGAAACAGTGCCTGCCTTCTCTGAGCGCACCTGCGCCACGGTCACCATCGGTGGCATGTGAGTAGGGGGCCTCCCCGTGGGTCCTCCTCCTTGTTCTGGGGGGACGGGTTTGGAGAGATCCCTGTGCTGCAATCATGGCTCCCTCAGCGCCATCTTGACCTGGGCCAGGCGTTGGGGGAGAGGTCTGTGGGGAGTTGGACTCCTCTTTAGCCCGCACCACTAGGATTCCTCTGCTGTGGCTCCCACACTTGCTTCACGGAGCCCTGGGATTTGCAGTTCAGGATCCCAGGGCAGAGGAAGTAGTCTGCACCTGCCAAGGCCACTTTGGCCCACATTTGGGACAGGTGCCCGTGCAAGGGGTCTCCAGGATAAGTCATCCTCCAGCCCCCTGCTTCTCTGGGGAGCCCCAAATTGGGTGGCTGATTCTGGGGGGGGGGAATATGCGCCCACCCCCTCCCCCTGCAGAAACATTCCCACCCCTGGAGGTGTTCCCGTGTCCCAAAGTGCAGGGCCAGGTGTTCCTTGAAGGGCCTCCCTCTGCAGTGTCTCTGCTTCATTGGTGCGGCTGCTGCTGCTGCTCTGCATGTGCATGGCTGGGCCTATGCGTGTGCATGGCGGGATGCAAGGGGGCGATGGGGTGCTGAGTTCAGGCGGTGGCAGTGGCAGCTGCAGCTCCGGCTTCCCTCTCAGAGGAGCCCCGGGAGGCCCAAAGGCGGCCTTTGTGCTCCCTGCGCTGTGTCAGGCGCGTTCGGGGAGAGGGGGGGGGTGCATCCCAGGTCATGCTCCCTCCCTTGCACATACAGCCTTTGCCAAGTGACTTCTGTGGCCGAGAAGGAAGGAAGGAAGATAGGCCTGGGCCTCGGAATGGGCCTTGCTGGAGAGTGGGGCAATCAAGGGGGAGAAGGGCGGCTGGGGCACCCCTCATCCTGGCATCTGGCCCTTCTGCTCTTTGGGGGGCCACGGTGGGAGCAGGGTTTGGGTGGCGACTCCCATGGGAGGAGCCTTTGGGTCTGCTGTGTCTTGGACGGAGGAAGGGTCAGTGTGCCCCCCCCCCCGACTGCCTGCTTCCTGTCCAGGGCTGGCCATGTCTCCCTGGGAGTTAGGGAGGGGTCTGAAGGAACAGGAAGCCTTTCCCTCGGGATGAGCTCCTGCCTTCCCCTCCCTCTCGCCAAAGGACCCCCCTCGCTGACCCCTTCCCTTCCAAACCCCCAGGCAAGCCCCATTGTGGTGGGGAGGGGGGCTTTCCCACTCCCCAAAGACTCCCTCCCCCAGCAAATGGGTGACCTTGGGTGGCCGTGGGCACTTGCTCTCTTCCCTGCTCCTCCTCCTCCTCTTCCCCAAAGAGAGCGCGGGCACTTCCATGCGCTGTCTCTCGGCCCCAGGGCCAATGGTGGAGCCACTGATGGCATGCGCATTGGGCACGCTCTGGGTCTGCCAGAAGTCCCTTGGGTCTAAGGTGCTTTTCCCAGGGGGGGTCACTGGGGCGAGGTGTACTACAAGGCTGTAGCATACCGGGGGTGGGGAGTGGGGGTTGGAGGGCCTGCCCCACAGGGAAAGGGGGCTCAGAAAGGGCAGTTGCCTCCTCCAAGGCACAATGGCAACTGCATAGGGATTTGTATGGCCCCCGGCTTTTCCTCCCTCGCCGCCCCAAGGTCCTGCCTCCGTTGCTCCTGCCACCCCTTCTCTACTTGGCTCTGCTTGGAGATGCTGGGCCCTGGGGGGTGGCCCCTTGGCCCTGTGCTGGGAGTGAGCCCCTTCCCCCACATCTGCTGGAGTGCCAGCCTCAGACCGGCCCCCCCTCCTCCCCCCCCCACCCCTCGCACCACTTTGGAGCATCAGCACAATATCTCCGGAGCAGACGAGCTGCCGAGGCCGTCATTGCAGCTCTGCAAACGTGAAATGGGTCAGATGCCCGGCAGCCGGATGCAGAAGCAAAAGGGGGGGCTCTGCATAACCCCCCCCCCCATTTACAACACTTAATAAGTAGGACCCCAGGTTGCTGTCCTGCAAAAACTCCCTGGGGAGTGACCCTACAACCCCCAACCTCCCTTGTAGCCCAGCCAGGAAAAGGCAAGGGACCCCCACATGAACTCCCCTTCAACCAGGATGGATGGGGATTCTGGGGGGGGGGTTGTGGTGAGGTGCCCTGCAGAGCATCCTTTCTCTCTCCTCCTTTGTAAAGCCCCCCTCTTTTCGTGAGAGAGAGAGAGAGGCCCAGAGGAGACCCTGATTGCCGACCTCGATTTCATTGTCATTGCTGTTGCTACTCTTTGACTTGAGATGCGAGGCTGTCAACCCCCCCCCCCTAGCAAAACGGTGGCCCTGCCATTCAAGCACAGGCGCTTTGCCTGGGGGCCACCAAGTCCTCCTTTCATCCCTGCGGCCGGCCGTAATTGCCTGCGATTCAAGTCCGATTAAGAGGCGAAACCTCTGTGCTTCCCTTCCCTTCCTTTTCTTTCCTCAAAGCCCGTGCCTGCAAACCGTCGTCTCCCTCCTCCTGGTTTTCCTCTCGGGGAGGAAGTGCCATCCTCCCAGCCAGCCAGCTTGTGCGCTCTGCAGCTCAAGGACCCCCCAGGGAAAGAAGGAAGGGACCCCTCGATTTCCCTCTGGGACTGGCAAATGGGGAGTGGGCCACGGCAGCCCCTTCCTGGCAGCCTGGCAGTCTCTGCAGCCTCTGCAACTGCTGCTATCTCCTTGCAGCCAAAGTCCTTCTCTTGCTGGCCAGGGTCCCCTTGGTTGCCCCCCACCCACGTGACCCATGTGACCTCTCCTTGGCCCAGACTTGGGCCTCATAGAATCATGGATCATCCAGTCCAAAACACAATCCCAACATATGGTTGTCCAGCCTCTTTTAGAGAAGGAAGTACATAGCCTTGGACTCTGAGTCCGCCTCGTGAGTGGGGCCCAAGGGAGGCCCCGTCCCACCGCAGAAGGAGGGCAGCCAGATTGGGGGCAGTGCTGGACCCCCGGAGAAAGCCCCCAGGCTGCTTCTGTTCTGTTGCATTCCATTCCAGGCTCTCCGGCCACCCGCCTTAGGCCTTCTCTGTGTGCCAAGGGGGACGGGCGGAGGAGGCCTTTTGCCTGGGGGATCCCTGCGGGCGATTTATTCTGTGCCGGTTGTGTGGAGAAGCGCTTCCTTTGTGCCGAGGGGCCCCCGGGGGTTTCATCCACGTGGCGCTCGTGGCCCAGTTCTTTCCCAAGGAGGTGAGCCCTCCTCCCTGCCCGCGGCCCCACACCAGCCCCACACGCACCCCCTCCTCTGAGCTCAGGCCTCCGTGGTGGAGGTGGTGGTCTTGGGTGGTCCTTCTTACCTGCCTCTCCTCACGGCTTGAGGTGGGTGACCACATTGCTAAGACACATAATAGAACACACAATCATTTAAAAGCACTCCATAAAATACACATATCAAAACACATTTCCATAAAATACATATTTAGGTAAAGGGAAAGGTTTTTCCCTGATATTAAGTCCAGTTGTCTCCGACTCTGGTGCTCATCTCCATTTCTAAGCCGAAGAGCCGGCGTTGTCCTTAGACACCTCCAAGGTCGTGTGGCCAGCATGACTGCATGGAGTATCTTTACCTTCCCGCTGGAGTGGTACCTATTTATCTACTCACATTTGTATGTTTTCGAACTGCTAGGTTGGCAGAAGCTGGGGCTAACAATGGGAGCTCACCTTGCTCCCTGGATTCGAACCTGCAACCTTTTAGTTAGCAAGTTAGCAGCTCAGCGACTTAACCCTCTGCACCACCGGGGGCTCCAAAATACATATTAAAATACGCAGAAGTTAGACATGGAACCGACGGATGAGACTGTTTTATTGTTTTAATGATTGTTTTATTGCTTGTGGATGCACGGTTTTTAACTTGATTTATATCTAATTGCAGTGTATAATTGTAATTAGGTTCTTGTGGGTTTTTTCGGGCTATAGAGCCATGTTCTAGAGGCATTTCTCCTGACGTTTCGCCTGAATCTATGGCAAGCATCCTCAGCGTTGTTACCCAGGCCTACTGAGGATGCTTGCCATAGATGCAGGCGAAACGTCAGGAGAAATGCCTCTAGAACATGGCCCTATAGCCCGAAAAAACCCACAAGAACCTAGTGATTCCAGCCATGAAAGCCTTCGACAATACATATAATTGTAATTGTTTATACTGGCTTTGAACTTTAGCCATTACTTATGTGTAAACCGCTTTGAGTCCCCCTCGGGGTGAGAAAAGCGGTATACAAATATTGTAAATAAATAAATAATAAACACAGGCACGGGCAAACTCTGGCCATCTCTCTATGTGTTTTGGACTCCGACTCCCACCCTTCCTACCAACCTCAGGCCTTTTCCTTTTCCCCCTCAGTCACTTAATGAGAAAGGAAAGGAAGGGGCTGGAGGAAGGGGTGCCCAAAGGCCATCTAGACCTGTCTCTGCAGGGCTCCAGGTTGCAGTGCTTTGGTGGTGGTTCCAGTGGGGGATTATGGGGTTGGCTTGCCTCCAAGGCCAGGATGGGCTCCTGGATTGCATCAGGGGGTTGGGGTGCACATGCGTGTGTGTGTGGGGAGTGGGGGTTTGCAGTCCTGTTTGGGGCCCCCTCGCCCTCACTGTCCACTCTGTTGTCTTGCAGCAACATCGCAGAGGCCCTGGTCAGCAAGGGCCTGGCCACCGTCATCCGCTACCGCCAGGACGATGACCAGCGCTCCTCCCACTACGACGAGCTCCTGGCCGCTGAGGCACGGTGAGTGAGGGAGCGAGTGAGTGAGCGAGTGAGTGAGTGGGGTCCCCAGGCCCTCTCCCTCCATAGCCTGAGATGACCGGAGCAAGGGCAGAGCGGAGGGGTCTTGCAGCATGCAATGGGGCTGGGCTGCACCCTGCAACCTGCCCCACTTCCTCTCGCCCTGCCTGTCCTGCATCAATGCGTGGCTGGAATCACTGGGTTGCTGTGAGTTTTCCGGGCTGTCCCAGAAGCATTCTCCCCTGACGTTCACTCATCTGGCCCTGCCATAGGTTTTCATGTGTCATGGTGTTACTGTTATTGTTTATTGCTTTGTTTATGAGTTATTTATTGTCATTATTACTGTGTTGTTTTATTGATGTATTTGGGCTTGGCCTCGTAAGCCGCACCAAGTCCTCCGGGAGATGGTAGCGGGGTATAAATAAAGGTTTATTATTATTATTATTATTATTATTATTATTATTATTCTCTCCAGACCTCCCAACCTCTGAGGATTCCTACCAGAAATGCAGGCGAAATGTCAGGAGAGCATGCTTTGGGCATCTCGAGGGAGGAGGGAATGCTTCCAAAGTGTTGGGCCAGGAGGGGAGACGGTCAGATCTGGAAAGGCTGAGGAGCACCCCCCCAGTTGCCCCCCACCCCCATTTTAGGATCCCCTCACAGGACCAAGGCCGCCGTCTTCCACATTGACCTGGCCTTTCATAGAATCCTAGAATCAAAGAGTTGGAAGAGACTCATGGGCCATCCAGTCCAACCCCATTCTGCCAAGAAGCAGGAATATTGCATTCAAATCACCCCTGACAGATGGCCATCCAGCCTCTGTTTAAAAGCTTCCAAAGAAGGAGCCTCCACCACACTCGGGGCAGAGAGTTCCACTGCTGAACGGCTCTCACAGTCAGGAAGTTCTTCCTCATGTTCAGATGGAATCTCCTCTCTTGTAGTTTGAAGCCATTGTTCCGCGTCCTAGTCTCCAAGGAAGCAGAAAGCAAGCTTGCTTCCTCCTCCCTGTGGCTTCCTCTCACATATTTATACATGGCTATCATATCTCCTCTCAGCCTTCTCTTCTTCAGGCTAAACATGCCCAGCTCCTTAAGCCGCTCCTCATAGGGCTTGTTCTCCAGACCCTTGATCTGTTCCCTCCTCCCTGTGGCTTCCTCTCACATATTTATACATGGCCCTCATCATGTCTCCTCTCAGCCTTCTCTTCTTCAGGCTAAACATGCCCAGTTCCCTAAGCCGCTCCTCATAGGGCTTGTTCTCCAGACCCTTGATCATTTGAGTCGCCCTCCTCTGGACACATTCCAGCTTAGAGTCAATCTCTCTCTTGAATTGTGGTGCCCAGAATTGGACACAATATTCCAGGTAAAGTGGTCTAACCAAAGCGGAATAGAGCATGGGGAGCAGGACTTCCTTGGATCTAGACACTCGGCTCCTCTTGATGCTGCAGAAGTGGTGGTGGTGTTTTGGAGCCCTTGGGCCTCGGAGTGGCCTTTCTCCACTCGCCAAATGCCAGCGGTCCAGTCCGTGCCTTGCAACCAGATTTTGGGAAGAGGAGGAGGAGGAGGAGGAGCCGTGAGCTTGAGCCAGTGGTCATCTCTGGCCCTTGGGAGCAGGGGAGGGGGCTCTTCTGTGATGGCCCCCTCCCTCCCTCCCTTGCCCACTCTCCCAGTTGTAATAATAATAATAATAATAATAATAATTATTATTATTATTATTTCCCATCCTTCCATGTTATCCTGACAGCCACCTTGCCCCCCCCATCCTCCTGCCCGTCCCTCTGTCCATCTCTCTGTCCACCCTCCCTGCTCTGCTCCACTTCTCCTCCCCCCTGGAATAAGAACGCTGCTCTTCCTTCTTCTTCGGCTGAGCAAAATGGCACAGAATGCAAATGAGGCCATTCAAACGGAATCTGCCAAACTCATCAGGGCGGGGCCAGTTGCCGGAGCCAGCCGGAGAATTCCAGATTGGGGGGGGGGGGTCGAGGGAGGGGGGGATGCCAAGGGCTGAGCTTCCAAGGAGGCACGTGCTGGCAACACCACCACCACTGCCCCCCCCCCACTTTTGGAGCCAGAGAATCCCGGATTCCAGAGATGAGGGGATTGGAGGGGGGGGGGGTCTGGCATAATTCTTCTGCTCTCTCCCCCCCCCTTTCCCCCTCCTTCTTTCCCTTCCACCGCACTTCTGCTCTGACTCAGGGGCCCAGGCACCTCTGAACAGAGGGTCCCACTCATGGGGGGGGGGGCTCCAAAACACCACCCCCACCTCTGCTACAGCAGCAGAAGGAGCCCAGGGTTGGCTTGGCGGGGGGGGGGGTCGAGGGAGGGTGGGATGCCAAGGGCTGAGCTTCCAAGGAGGCACGTGCTGGCGCCACCACCACCACTACTGTTCCCCGTCCCCCTGCCACGTCCCATTCTTTGCTTTTGGAGCCTGGGAATCCTAGGATTCCTGAAACGAGGGGATTGGGGGGGGGGGGGTCTGGCATAATTCTTCTGCTCCCCCCCCCCCTTTTTTCCCTCCTTCCCTTCCTTCCACCGCACTCCTACTCTGACTCAGGGCTCCAGGCACCTCTGAACAGAGGAGCCCGCTCATGGGCCCCCCCCCCAAACACCCCCACCTCTGCTTCTGCTGCAGAAGGAGCCCAGGGCTGGCTTGGCTGTGTGTGTGTGTGTGGGGGGGGGGGGGGGGGTCGAGGGAGGGTGGGATGCCAAGGGCTGAGCTTCCAAGGAGGCACGTGCTGGCGCCACCACCACCACTACTGTTCCCCGTCCCCCTGCCACGTCCCACTTGCTTTTGGAGCCTGAGAATCCCAGGATTCCAAGGACCAGGGCATGGGGGGGGGGGCTGGCATAATTGTTCTGTTCTCCCCCTCCCCCTTTCCCTCCCTTCCACTGCACTTCTGCTTTGACTCAGAGGCCCAGGCACCTCTGAACACCCCCACTTCTGCAGCTGAATGAGCAGGAGATTAGGAGAGAGGCCTCTCTTCCCTTGGAGAGATGTGTCTCTGGGAAGGAAAGAAGGAAAGAAAAGGAGGGGGGGGCTGCTTTGAGAGAGAGCCTGGTGGGGAGGGGCCTTTTATAGCGGGGGGGGGGGGAGATGCCGCAGCTCCTCCTATTTTGGGGGAGGTGTGTGTGTGTGGGGGGGGGAGTGTGAGGGAGGACAAGAGCGTGCAATTAAAAGGAAAGGAGAGCAGCTGGTCCCCATCACCAAGAACAGCCTGCCTGGAAGGCTACAGGGCCAAGGGGGGCGGGGGGGGGGGAGCAGAAGCCTTTGCTCTGGGGCCCCATGGGGGGGGGGGGGAGGGAGTAGAGGGAGCACCGTCCATCCCTGGCTGCCTCTGGTTGGTAACCTCAGCCCCTGGGGTCAAGGGGACCCCCTCCCCTGCTGGGAATCCCAAGCCCTGAGTGCCTGATGCGCCCAGAGCCAGCCCAGTGCAGGTGGATCTGGGGTCAGGGTCTTGGGAGTGGGGCGCCTGGGCTGGAGGGCCCTTCCAAGGCCTCCCCACGTGCCTAGAGCTCTGGGTCATTGGCGGTGGGTGGGCAGCTGCCCTTCTCTTCCCCACTCAGCCATGGAAGGAAGCCACTGGGTGCCCTTGGGCCAGGCCCACCCTCCAGCCACAGAGGGAGGCAGTGCTGGTCAAGACCCTCCCCTCCATGCAGGTCTCCCCAAGAGGCCCCAGAAGAGCTCTGCCTTGGGGGGCTGAGGTGGGGAGGGGATTGAAGTCCCAGGACAACTGCCTGGGCTGGGAGCGCAGGCCTCCCTCCCTCCCTCCCTCCCTCCATCCATCCCTTCCCCCCCCGCAAAACAACCAAAATTAAAAGTTATTCAACCCTTCCTTCATCCCTTCATCCCTTCCCTCCCTTCTCTTCTTCCTCTCCTTCCTCCCTTCCCTTTCTTCCTTCCTTCATCCCTTCCTTCCTTCTTTCCTTCCCTCCCCTCCTTCACTCCTCCCTTCCTTCTTTCCTCCCTTCCTCCTTCCCTCCTCCCTTCCTTCATCCCTTCCTTCCCTCTCCTTCCCTCCTTCCCTTTCCCGCCTTCCCTTCCTTCTTCCCTCCTCCCTCCCTTCCCGCCTTCCTTCCCTTCTTCCCTCCCTCCCTCCCTCCCTCCATCCCTTCCTTCTTTCCTCCCTTCCTCCTTCCCTCCATCCCTTCCTTCCTCCCTTCCTTCCCTCCTTCCTCCTTCCCTCCTTCCCGCCTTCCCTTCCTTCTTCCTTTTTTCCTTCTTCCCTCCCCCTTCTTTCCTTCCTTTCTCCCTCCTTCTTTCCTTCTTTCCTCCCTCCCTCCCTCCCTCCCTCCTCCTGCTGTACCCACTAGGGATCTCAGGGCCATTCAGGGGCCCCCACTTAAAGGGAAGGGGAAAGATCCTGCTGGGAGCAGGTTTCCATGAGCATCAGAACGGCCTTTGGCGGGCTGTGTCTTTTGCCCGAAAGGAAAGGGAAGGAGTCCTGCAAAGCCCTCCTCCGGCCGTGTTCTGAGCTGGGGGCGGGGGGGGGGGGGTTACTGCCAACATATGACCCCCCCCAGAAAAAAACCTGTTTCTTGAGGAGGGGGTGGGTCTTCTACAACCCTGCCTTGCCTGCCCCCCTGACCCAGGCTCCTTATGCCCCCTCCCCCGCAGGGCCATAAAGAACGGCAAAGGACTGCACAGCAAGAAGGAGGTCCCCATCCACCGAGTGGCCGACATCTCTGGGGTAAGGAAGGGGTCCAAAGGGAGGGGGCGGGGCTATGCTGGGGAGGAGGGGGGCAGGAGAGGGGGTCCTTTGCGCCCAGAGAGCCCTCAGGGGGCAAGAGTACGAAAGGCATGGCTGCACCCCACGTTCTCCCACTTCAGGGATGTGGGTGCCCATGCTCAGGTGTGCTTGTGCATGCTTCCACTGTTTAAAAGTAGGGGGAGCAGCAGCTGAAACCCCAGATATAGCGCACTTCCTGAAGCCCTTTTGTCAGTGGTCAGTCCTTGGAGGGGGGCATCCAGAGGGGGGTCTCTGTATATGAGTTTGGTGCAAGTCTCAGCTTGAGCTCCCCACTACGATTGAGAAAGTGCTGGGTGGCGGGGGCAAAGGGCAGGGCCTGTTATTCTTTCTGCAGGGAAAGGTATGTGTGCGTGAAAGATCTCTCGGCCTCTGTGGGTTAGGGTTAGGGTTAGGGTTGGGGAGGGCACACAAGAGGGTGCAGTGGCCACTGGTGGGTGGCTTTGAATGGGCCCTGAATAGATTCATGACAGGGAGGATTTTGAGGGAGAGGCCGGCGGTGTTGCCATGATGTCCGGCTGGTGGGCTTCACAGAGAAGGACTGGAGCAGGCGCAGTGGGAGGCTGGGACCGAGTGTTGTAGGTCAGCCTGAGGTTGTGTCTGATGTCAATGGGGATGATGATTTTCCTGGGCCTGAATCACAGAATCCTAGAGTTGGAAGAGACCTCGTGGGCCATCATCCAGTCCAACCCCATTCTGACAAGAAGCAGGAATATTGCATTCATCTGTCAAGTGAAAGGCCTGGTTCTGGCCTTGCGGAGAGCGCTTTTCCTGTAGATTCTGAAGGCCAAATTCCTGAAAGGGGCCCAGGGAAGTTTTTCTCTGAGGAACTGTCTTCTGTCAGGTGCAGAAGTTAATGAGAATGAAGATAGGAGACAAGACTTTTATAAACTAAGGGAAAGTTCTCAAGCTTGCCGAAGGGGGGCACCTCTGCTCTTCCAGGAGAAGGCCCTCAGGGGGGTCCTGAATAGATTCATGGTGGGAAGGACTTGGGAGAGAGGTCAGCGGTGCTGTCGTGATGTCCAGCTGGTGGGCTTCACAGAGCGGGACCAGAGCGGCTGCAGTGGGATGCTGGGACTGAGTGTTGTAGGTCACTTTGGGATTGTGTCTGACGTCAATGGGGGTGATGATTTTGCTGGGCCTGAGCGAGAATCCTAGAATCCTAGAGTTGGAAGAGACCTTGTGGGCCATCATCCAGTCCAACCCCATTCTGCCAAGAAGCAGGACAATCACATTCATTTGTCAAGTGAAAGGCCTGGTTCTGGCCTTGCTGAGAGCGCTTCTCCTGTAGATTCTGAAGGCCAAATTCCTGAAAGGGGCCCATGGAAGCTTTTCTCTGAGGAACTGTCTTCTGAGGATGATTTGTCAGGTGCAGAAGTTAATGAGACGGAAGATAGAAGACAAGACTTTTGTAAACTAAGGGAAAGTTCTCAAGCTTGCCGAAGTGGGGCACCACTGCTCTTCCAGGAGAAGGCCCTTAAAAAGTGGGGGGGGCGGGGGTCCTGAATGGATTCACGGTGGGGAGGCCTTTGGGGAGAGGCTGGTGGTGCTGCCTTGATGTCTGGCTGGTGGGCTTCACAGAGCGGGACCGGAGCGGCTGCAGTGGGATGCTGGGACCGAGTGTTGTAGTTCAGCCTGGGGTTGTGTCTGATGTCATTAGATATGATGATTTTCCTGGGCCTGAGTTAGAATCATAGAATCCTAGCGTTGGAAGAGACCTCGTGGGCCATCATCCAGTCCAACCCCATTCTGCCAAGAAGCTGGGAAATAGCATTCATTTGTCAGGTGAAAGCCCTGGTTCTGGCCTTGCGGAAAGCGCTTCTCCTGTAGATTCTGAAGGCCAAATTCCTGAAAGGGGCCCATGGAAGCTTTTCTTCTGAGGATGATTTGTCAGGTGCAGAAGTTAATGAGAATAAAGTTAGAAGAGAAGACTTTTGTAAACAAAAGCAGATTTCCTGAAAGTAGAACCAGAAAAATAAGACTCTGACTGTAAATAGGTCAGCTGCTGTCCTCACCTTTTTGCCTTGTTTTTTCCTTGTGTTCTATTTTGAAATGGGCACATGACTGGTCAAATAAATACATTATTATATTAAGACTTGTAAATTAAGGGAAAGTTCTCAAGCTCACTGAAGGGGGCACCTCTGCTCTTCCAGGAGAAGGTCCTCATGGGGGTCCTGAATAGATTCACGGTTGGGAGACCTTTGATGAGAGATTGGTGGTGCTGCCTTGATGTCTGGCTGGTTGGCTTTGCAGAGCAGGACCGGAGAGGGTGCAGTTGGATGCTGGGACCGAGTGTTGTAGTTCAGCCTGGGATTGTGTCTGATGTCAATGGGGATGGTGATTTTCCTGGGCCTGAGTTAGAACCATAAAATCTTAGAGTTGAACTGGATGTGGGCCATCCAGTCCAACCCCATTCTGCCAAGAAGCAGGAAAATCGCATTCATTTGTCAAGTGAAAGGCCTGGTTCTGGCCTTGCGGAGAGCGCTTCTCCTGTAGATTCTGAAGGCCAAATTCCTGAAAGGGGCCCATGGAAGCTTTTCTCTGAGGAACTGTCTTCTGAGGATGATTTCTCAGGTGCAGAAATTAACGAGACTGAAGATAGAAGACAAGACTTTTGTAAACTAAGGGAAGGTTCTCAAGCTCGCCGAAGGGGGGCACCTCTGCTCTTCCAGGAGAAGGCCCTCAGGGGGGTCCTGAATAGATTCACGGTGGGGAGGACTTGGGGGAGAGGCCGGTGGTGCTGCCTTGATGCCTGGCTGGTGGGCTTCGCAGAGCGGGCGCAGTGGGATGCTGGGCCTGAGAGAGTGCCGGCCTTGGTCCGGATCCGGCGCCTGGGCCAAGGGAGGTGCGCTCTCATCTGGCGGCGCCTTTATTGCAGTATTTACAGGCAGGCCCCCCTGTCGCCAGGTCCCAACGCAGCGTACAAATGAAATCAATTTAAAACAATTTAAAAATTCAGAGCAGTGAGGAATAATTTAAACAGCTTAAAAGCATATTAAAGCCATTTAAGACTGGAGGCAGAACTGCTTCCCCTGAAGGAGGGCTGGTGAGAAGGAGCCCAAAGGGGGGGGGGTGTGCACATTGGTGGGAGGGGGGGCTCTGCCTGGGAGGCGGGGGGAGGCTCTGGCCAAACCCACTCCAAAGGGCCCCTCTGACGAGCCTCTCGTGGGCCCCGGGGGGGGGGAGGAATGGCACAAGCACTGCCCTTCTCCCAGGAGAGGACCCTCAGGAACAAGGTCCATCTGTTCCTCCGTGCTAACTCCATGGGTTGGGAGCCTGCCTTCCCACCAGCACAATGCCCCCCCCCCCTCCGCCACATCCTTGGGTTGCCTTCAGGGACACCCACACTCTGCGCGGGGGGGGGGGGGGGCTTCTGTCCCCTGGAATGCTAGGGTTGGAGGAGACCCCGCTTACCTCTCCGAAGGTATCTACCCGTATGCACCACGTTATTAAGATCGCCTGAAGAGGCCCTGCTCTCGATCCGCCTCCTTCGCAGCACGCCTTCCTCCTCATGGTGGCCCTCCCTCACTGTGAACTGCCCTCCCCAGCGATATTAGATCAGAAGGAGCCCAAGGGGGGGTGTACATTGGTGGGAGGGGGGAGGCTCTGCCTGGGAGGGGGGGAGGTTCTGGCCAAACCCACTCCAAAGGGCCCCTCTGACGAGCCTCTCGTGGGCCCCGGGGGGGGGGAGGAATGGCACAAGCACTGCCCTTCTCCCAGGAGAGGACCCTCAGGAACAAGGTCCATCTGTTCCTCCGTGCTAACTCCATGGGTTGGGAGCCTGCCTTCCCACCAGCACAATGCCCCCCCCCCCTCCGCCACATCCTTGGGTTGCCTTCAGGGACACCCACACTCTGCGCGGGGGGGGGGGGGGCTTCTGTCCCCTGGAATGCTAGGGTTGGAGGAGACCCCGCTTACCTCTCCGAAGGTATCTCCCCCATGAACCACCTCGGAGGTTAAGATTGTCCGCGGATTCCCTGCTCTCGGTCCCACCTCCTTCGTCTGGTGGGAACGAGAGAGGGGGGCCCTTCCTTCTCAGTGGTGGCCCCTCCCTCAGCTGTGGAACTCCCTCCCCAGCAATATTAGACCAGCCCCCTTCCTCCTGACCTTTGGAAAGCGAGTGAAAACGTGGCTTTGGGATCAAGCTTTTGGGGAATCATAGAGTGCAGTCGATGGATTTGGAATTATGTGCAATACCTTCCGGAATGGCCTGGACTTTGATTGCAGATAGTAATTGTGGGAGTTATTTATAGTAGTAATTGTAATGTTTTAAGTGTTATAATGTTTTATTATCTTGTCTTTAATTTTTTAATTGAATTGTTTATTTAATTGTATATTGGAGATCCAGGAGAGTCTTGTTTCTCCAACACAAACAGGCCGGCAGAACGCTGGATAATAAGGAGGGATTAAGGAAAAGCTATTGAAAGTCAAATTACGCTACGATTTTACAAACTAAGCACCAAAACATCACGTTTTACAACAAATTGAGAGAAAAAGCAGTTCAATACACAGTAATGTTATGTAGTAATTGCTGTATTTACAAATTTAGCTTCAAAATATTGCATTGTATTGAAACAACTGTGGATCCGGGCGTTGGATGATACGGAATGCTGGATGAGCGAAGGCTGGATGAGCGAGACTCTATTTATGTATTGTGTTTAAGGCGTTGAATTACTGCCTATGTCGTAAGCCGCCTTGAGTCCCCTTCGGGGTCGGGAAAGGCGGGATATAAATAGAGATAATAATAATAATAATAATAATAATAATAATAATAATAATAATAATAATAATTTAAGAAGGATCCTTCAGCCCACCCTGACCTGCCCGAAAGGAGGGCACCCTCAGTCCTCCCAGCGCCCCCCCCCCCCCCGGGAAGCATGCACCCCTCTCCCGCTCCCCCACCTTCCTAGCACATGGCCTGGCCCTTGTGGGCCTCTGTGTTGCAACTCAGAGTAAGCTTCACTTTGCTTCCAAACACCACCAAACAAGAGCTGTAGTTTTATAGTTTATTGAGGAAAAAATCCAAGTCAAAATAAAGAATAAGCATTGCAAAGTTCCAAAGATTTAGGTTAAATGCAGAATATAGTTCCAAAGATCTTCAGGTAAAAACAAGAGGCACAATCCTATAGGCAAAGTTCAAACCAGAGTCCAAGGTACAAGCAATAAAACAATTGCCCCAAGAATCACAATGCAAGAAATCCCAAGCGTGCTGCTTTCCAGGCTAAGGTTATTCCATGAAGCTTTCAGGCTAATAAGCTACGTTGAACTGACGCTTTCTCTTAGTTTGCAAGAAGCCTAAATACCTTTCTAACATGAAAACATTATGCTCTCACCAACATGAAAGCATTGCGATGACCTTTCCCCGAGCTGGCTTCTCGTCTGCCGGCCAGGTGAGAACTCCGCCTGACCCGCAAATCAAGACGAGCTTGCCGGGTCAGGTCACTGTCAAGGCTTTCTGTACTTTCAGTATCAGCGTGGGAAGGACGCAAATGCCTCCCCACCTGTTCGCTATCTCCTTCATTAAAATTCTTTTCTTCTGAGAACCGCTGTGTTGACTCTGCACTGTTTGTGGGAGCCTCAGAAAAAGACCTAGAAGCAGGCCCAGAGATCTGAGGCACAGAAAAAGAGCCAGGAATCTGAATCCCATCATCCTCATCATCAGAGAACATCTCAGCCATAATGCCCTGTCTGAGGCATTGGTGGGCGGCCCGGATGGCCATCCCATGCCTTGGATCAGCGGCCTTCCCTTGCATTCTGGCCTGGCATAGTGGCAGACCCCCAGTTCTCCCCCCACTTCCATGTCCTGCCCTCCACAGGGGAGTTCCTTGTGGCTCCTCATTCAGCCACCCGAGAGCGTCTCAGCCATGCAAAGGTGCACACGAGGGGGAGACCTTGCTGCTCCCCCCTCCCCAGCTGAATGATTGTAGACTGGCTCTGTTGGGGGGGGGGGTCCAAACCCAGCCTAGTGCTTGGAGGCTCCTGAGTAAATGCCTTTCTGCAGCAGGAAAGGGACTTGCAGTGTAGACACTTCCAAGGGCCTGCCGGGGGGGGGGGACGCCAGAGAGATGGACCCCTTCCGGGATGGATGGAAGGAAGGAAGGAAGGAAGGAAGGGAAGAAGGAAAGAAGGAAGAAAGAAAGGGAGGAGGAGCAGGGCCTGTGCCCGCCTGCCCTTCTTCCTGGGCTCTTCCGCTCTGCTTCCAGGCATGTAATCCTGTTCTGGAGTAATTTCCTAAATAATTCAACTCCTCGTGTAAGACAAATCTGTGCCCGCTCACTTCCCGCTTTAAATGCTTTGCCGTCCATTAAATGAGGTTTGCCGGAGCCGCCTTGGCCGGATGTGGGGGGGGGGGGGGGGTGAAGGGAGGGAGAGTGTGGCTCCCGCCCCTCCCTCTGCAGAGAGAGCCTTGCATAATTTTGCATAATTGGCCATGCTTCACATATAAAAGCAGAGTTATGGTTCTGCTGCTTCTCTTCCCTCTGTTTATGCATAATTTCCTTTCCATTTGGAGATAATGAACGCTGGGGAGGAGGATTCAGGGGAGAACCATGCCCACGTCCCTGCTTCCTGGCCTTCGGCTGATGAGGGACCCCCCTCCCTCCCCCCTCCCCGGAAGAAGGGGCTCAAGGGGGCTCCAGGAATGGGGGAGCACCTCAGGGGGTGACCTCTGACCTCCAGCGCTGCAGCCCACTTGGCCTCCTGACCACTGCGGGTCATTCCAGCTGGAGAGCCAAGCCCACACCTCTCATAGTTGGGTCATCCAGACAGCAAGACACAATCCAAGCTCTCCTGACAGATGGCCATCTAGCCTCTGCTTTGAAGCCTCCAGGGAAATAAGGCAGCTCCAGCATATTTCCCTTTTCTGAGGCCTCCCACCCACTGCTATGGGGAATTTGGGGTGTGTGTGTTTGGGCCTAGATGAGAAATGAAGGGGTCATTGGCCCTGTGGAGGGGTTTTTGGGTGATTTTTTTGGTGTCAGGGGCGACTTGAGAAACTACAAGTCGCTTCTGGTGTGAGAGAATTGGCCATCTGCAAGGACATTGCCCAGGGGACGTGCCCAGATGTTTGATGTTTGACCATCCTTGTGGGAGGCTTCTCTCATGTCCCTGCATGGGAAACTGGAGCTGACATAGGGAGCTCAACCCGCTTTCCTTGGATTCGAACCGCTGATCTGTGGGTCAGCAGTCCTGCTGGCACAAGGGTTTGACCACCTGACAAAAGGGGCTCAAGGAGGTGAGCCATTCCTTCAAGGCCTTGGTCCAGTTTGGTGCCTGTTGTGGCCGAAGGTCCTGCATTCTGGCCTTGCTGCTTCTGCAGAGACCCTTCCCCCCCTGAAATGGCAGACCCCCCCCCCAGCCCTCCCACCTCTGCATGCTAATCAAGCCATGACACCCGTTGTGATTGCGCCAATTAGTAGCCTTCCTTAGTTATTTCTGTTCTGCATTTGCATATGTTAGGCTTAAGTGGTTAATAGTTGAGGGAAGCAAGAAGCCCCCCCTCCCCTTCCCCCCTCCCCCTCCCTCCCCTCCAGTGCAGTTTGTGTGCAGATTGTGGCTCCATGTGTTTGCATTAACTTCTTGACAACAGCACATCTGTTCTGGGAGGACGAGGCAGGCGGCGGCCCTGGAGCCCCCTCCCCCTTGCAATGGGTCTCTTGCGCAATACGAGGGGCTGCGGGTGGGCAGGGCATGGGCCTCTCTTGCCGCCTGGGGTGGGGGGGGTCTTTGCAGCCAGGCTGCCCCCTCCCACAGGGATTGCACATGAGGACGGCTGTGAGGTGTGACACTGCCAGTGATGGCCCTTCAAGCCCCCCAATGCCCTCCTCGTTTGGCAGCAGCACTGACGCTCTGGCCGCCCTGCCCTTTGCCCCGTGTCCACTCTCCTGTTCCCTCCCTTTGCAGGACACCCAGAAGTCCAAGCAGTTCCTGCCCTTCCTGCAGCGGGCCGGGCGCTCGGAGGCGGTGGTGGAGTACGTCTTCAGCGGCTCCCGCCTCAAGCTCTACCTGCCCAAGGAGACCTGCCTCATCACCTTCCTGCTCGCAGGTCAGCCTCCGACGGGTGCCGTGGGGAGGGGGGAGCTTCTGGGGCAGGGGGTCTGCGTGGGGCAGCCATCCTCACCGCCTATGGGTCTGGGGTATGTGTCTGTGAGGGGGAGAGACAACCACAGCCAAAGGGGCTTCCTGGGCCATTGCTCTGGCATGTGGGTGTGTGGGCCACCATGGGGAGCGCTGTGGGGCCCATAACCTTCTTGGCTGAAAGGACGCCAGGGACTAGATGGAAGGCCAGGCCATTGCTCTCTCCGTCCCTGTGGACCCAGCCGGCATCTGCTGTGTGAGTGAGAAGGAGACTGGGCCCATAACCTGTTGGGTCAAAAGCTGGGGTGGAGTGGGGCTTGTGACCCTCCCTCTTGGTTCAGGGGTTGCTGGATGGGGATGGGGGCAGAAAGGTGAGAGTCAGGGGCTCCTGGACTTGTGGGGCCTGCTTTTCCTGGCTGTATGGCTGTGCTTTTTCCCTGGGGCAGACTTTGGCCGGATATTTTGGACTTCAACTCCCACAATTCTGTTAGGAAAGTTTTCCCATGCCTGCTGTAGAGCCATGGACCCACTTTTTGCTTGATATCCAGGCAGTGCTTCTTGTAGGTCAGAGCACGGTCCAGGGTGACTCCCGGGTATTTGGGTGTGTTGCAATGCTCCAGTGGGATTCCTTCCTCCCAGGTAATAATCCTCAGAGCTTGAGATACTTGTCTGTTCTTGAGGTGAAAAGCACACGTCTGTGTTTTAGATGGATCAGCTGGTTTTCCCTGTCATAGGCAGTAAGAGCACCTAAAGCTTCAGCAAGCTTCTGTTCTACCATTTCAAAGCTCTCTGCTTGAGCCTGACTGGGCCCATAACCTGTTGAGTTCAAAAACTGGCCTGGCCTGGGGCTTTTGACCCCCCACCTTGGTTCAGGGCTGCTGGATGGGGATGGGGGCAGAAAGGCGAGGGAAAGGGATCCCTGGCCTTGTGGGGCCTGCTGTTGTGTTCCAGAGTAGGAACACCTCTGTACTTAATCGCCACTCCAGTTAAATAAAATCAGCAAGCAGTTTATTGAAGGATATATGTAAGCAAAGCAGTAAACATGGTAAAAAGAGTATAGTTCAAAGGAGTATAATCGAAAGGTAAGAGATAGTCCATGGACTTCAAGGTACAAGGTAAAAACTCAAGATCCAAGGATGCAAGATCCAGAAAAACAAGACAGCATGGAGAAATACACAGAACAGGAACTTAGCAAAACTTGAAACGTTGAACTAGAAATCCACTTGGAAACAAGACAGCATGAAACTCCAATGTTGACGCGACTGAGCCAGAATCCTTTCCCTGTCTCATATAAAGCTTTTCTTGTCTCATGAAACGAAAGGAAAATATTCCTTTCATTTCTTGGATCAGGATGTCTTTTCTCTCATTTCTAATAAATGAGCTTGGGCGATTTCCCTTAGTTTACAAAAGTCTCCTCTTCTATCTTGTATCCCATTAATTTCTGCCCCTGACGATTCATCCTCAGAAGGCAGTTCCTCAGAGAAAGGCTCCTGTGGGCCCCTCTCAGGAATGTGACCTTTGGCATCTACAGGAGAAGCACTCCATTCAGTAGAAACCTCGGGCCTTTCAACAAGGCCAGGACTTGAAAGCTCTGGCCCAGGAAATCAGACACAATAACAGGCTGAATTATAACACCTGCTTTTCCTGGATGCACAGTTGTGCTTCTTCCTTGCAGAGCCACGTGAGGCACGGGCCCTTCCGGGACCCCCCCCCCCCACTCTGCTGGAATGGCCTTTCCCTGCTCTGTCCTCGGGCGGCAGCCGTGGAGGAGGCGGCCGTGTCTGGGGAGGGCATGGTGGCAGGGGGGGCTGACATTGAACTAGAAATCCACTTGGAAACAAGACAGCATGAAACTCCAATGCTGACTAGACTGAGCCAGAATCCTTTCCCCGTCTCATATAAAGCTTTTCCTGTCTCACGAAACGAAAGGAAAACATTCCTTTCATTTCATGGATAAGGATGTATTTCTCTCTTTCCTAATAAAGGAGCTTGGGAGTTTTCCCTGAGTTTACAAAAGTCTCTTCTTCTATCTTGGATCTCATTGGCGGCAGCTGTGGGGAGGCGGCACTGTCTGGGGAGGGAATGGTGGGAGGGGGGGCTGAGATCTCCTTGGGCCCCCTCTCAAGGTCCTCCCCCCCCCCTCGCTGACTCTCCAGGCGTTCTCCATGTAAGACGGAACCTCATCCCCGGCAGGTCTTATTTATAATTAACCAGCCCTAAAGTCAGTGGCAGAAGACAAGAAAACGAGACTCTGCGTTTCGGAGCCTCTGATATTCTGAAATTTTAATAAGCACTAAAACTCCCACTTATGTTAAAAAATAAATAAGCCATGCCACCGCAGAAGGGCAAGCGCCAGGCGCAGCTGCCAAAGGAAGTCGGACGAGGAGGAGGAGGAGGAGGAGGAGGAGGAATGGCAGGATGTGATGCGTCCTTCTCTGGGGGAGACTCCCATCCTCCCAATTGGGGGTGGGATGCGGTGGGGGGAGTCCTGGGTCGTGAGGAAAGGAGGGAGACGGACGGCCTCACTCGCTCGCTCACTCTCCCGAGATCTCAAGCGCCACACAGAAGGATTTGGGACAGGGATATAGATGTGTTGGAAACGTAATAAATCAGGGAAGTAATCAATTATACAAATTGCGCTGCACAGCCCGCGCTATAAATAGCCGGAGTGGAGAAAGTCCATCGGACAGACCGGTGGCTTGGCCGGCCGGAGAGTGGGGGGGGGCAGGGCTTGCGCTTGGCATGAGTCCCCCCCACACCAGAGTTTCCTGTCTCCGGGGGAAATCTCGGTCCTGCTCCGGCTTGCCTGGGCTGCCAACCTTTGCCTGGAAGGAGATCCAGCCGGCCCCCGTGGGACCTTCCCCCCCCCCCCCGGCGGGCCGGCTCCCGTCCTGCTATATTTAGCCTGGGCTGCCTGGCAATGTTAATTTGAGTAATTGATTAGCCCGGGGATGTATTCCGCACCAAATATGCACACAAGCCCGCATTTCCATCCCAGGACTGTGTGGGACGGAGAGAGGGAGGGGCTGTTCTTGGGTCTTCAGGGCCCCCACCCCGGGGTGGCTTGAGGGAACCCAGAGAGAGAAGGAGGGTCCCTTTGGGGCTGGGTGGGGGCAAGGGGGCTCTTCTTCAAAGGCGGGGCTCCCTCCCTCCTGGACCGCTGCCCGCTTGGATGCGCCACACGCTGCCGGCCACCGCCTGGGCCCGGCTTGCCGCTCTCTTCGGCGCACACGCACGCACCGTCTTCTGTTTATGGGTACATTACAGCTCCTCATTAAAGCTAATTGGTGACTGTCAAAGGGGTGGACGCGCCGCTCCTGCCGCTCTGCGCTCCGCAAGGCCTTTGCCGCAGCCGCTGCCACCGCCGCCACCGCCTCCTCCTCGCTGCATCCTCCCATGCAGAGCAGGCCCTTGCTGCTTCTTTGGGGTCTGGGGGGTCCCTCACTGATCAGGCATAGGGTCTCCCTGCTTTCCTATGGGGCCGCCCTCCTCCTCTTCCGTTTGGGTGCCCAGAGTGCCAGGGACCCCCGTGCCCCCCCTCCCTACATCCTCCCATGCAGAGCAGGTCCTTGCTGCTTCCTTGGGTCTGGGGATCCCTCGCTGATCAGGCATAGGGTCTCCCTGCTTCCCTATGGGGCTGCTTTCCTCCCCTTCTGTTTGGGTGCCCAGAGTGCCAGGGACCCCCGTGCCCCCTCCTCCTCCTCCTCTCTGCATCCTCCCATGCAGAGCAGGCCCTTGCTGCTTCCTTGGGTCTGGGGATCCCTCGCTGATCAGGCATAGGGTCTCCCTGCTTCCCTATGGGGCTGCTTTCCTCCCCTTCTGTTTGGGTGCCCAGAGTGCCAGGGACCCCCGTGCCCCCTCCTCCTCTCTGCATCCTCCCATGCAGAGCAGGCCCTTGCTGCTTCCTTGGGTCTGGGGATCCCTCGCTGATCAGGCATAGGGTCTCCCTGCTTCCCTATGGGGCTGCTTTCCTCCCCTTCTGTTTGGGTGCCCAGAGTGCCAGGGACCCCCGTGCCCCCTCCTCCTCCTCCTCTCTGCATCCTCCCATGCAGAGCAGGCCCTTGCTGCTTCCTTGGGTCTGGGGATCCCTCGCTGATCAGGCATAGGGTCTCCCTGCTTCCCTATGGGGCTGCTTTCCTCCCCTTCTGTTTGGGTGCCCAGAGTGCCAGGGACCCCCGGGCCCCTCCTCCTTGCTGCATCCTCCCATGCAGAGCAGGCCCTTGCTGCTTCCTTGGGTCTGGGGATCTCTCGCTGATCAGGCATAGGGTCTCCTTGCTTCCCTATGGGGCTGCTTTCCTCCCCTTCTGTTTGGGTGCCCAGAGGGCCAGGGACCCCCATGGCCCCCCTCCCCCTCTTCCTCCAAACCTGCAGGGAGGGGCCCCTTGCCCACCCAGCTCCAAAGGGCCCCTCCTTCTCTCTCCGAGCTCCCTCAAGCGACCCCAGAGTGGGGGCCCTGAAGCCCCAAGGAGCCTGCAACAGCCCCCTCCCCTCCTTCCGCCCTATACAGCCCCGAGATGGAAATGTGGGCTTGTGTGCATATTTGGGGGATCCCTCACTGATCAGGCATAGGGTCTCCCTGCTTCCCTATGGGGCCGCCCTCCTCCCCTTCTGTCTGGGTGCCCAGAGGACCCCCGCGGCCCCCTCCCCTTCCTCCTCCTCCTCCAGGCCGAACCATGTGGGTCTCTGGCCGGAGGAGTCCAGTCCTGCCCGCCAGGCCCTGGCTCACAGTGCTGGCCATAAATCAATCCCGTAATTGTTTTCCGACCATCTTCCCGAGCAAAGAGCTCTCCCAAGGCAGTTCGCAAATACCGCCGTAGGAAAACAATAAAAACACGAAATATAGAAGATTAAAACAGCGGCATAAAAAAGCGCTCCTGAAACGCCTCCCTCAAGTTTTAGTGTCTCTTGAAGCTCCAGGAAAACGGGGGCCCGGGGCCTCTTCGTGTGGCCCTCAGGCGCATCCGGACC